ATATAAATCCTAACCTACCACTCCCACCAAACTAATTAATTAATATGAACTAACTAATGAAAAACGGTTCCCCCGTTGCAGGCCGAGCTGAAGCGCCTGTACACCCAGCTCCAGATCATGCACAACAAGACCCTCCGGCAGGACAATCCCCACATCTCCAAGCGGAGGGGAGGGAGGAAGCCGACGCATCGACGGTTCTCGCTCCAGGTCAAGGTCTGTCCCGTTACGTTACGTATGTACCGTTACGTTACGTTTTCCCCGATGAATGCGTTTTTCCGGGATGTAATTGCGATTGCGTTACAGTTTGCGGGAAAAAATTTCCAGCAATTACTTTATCGGAAATTCATTTGTAAATATAAAAAAAAATTATTCGTGTTTGCTCGCTTGGGAGTCGATGGTAGGGTCGTGTGTTGATCGGCGTTCGTCGGAGGCAAGACGACAGGAAGACGACAGGAAGACGACGTCAAACGACGCGGAAGACCTTCGGGATCGCGATGAGCTCAGATTTGAGAAAACGTCTTTTGTAGAAGGGGGAATGGGATCGTCCCATTTCTGCCGATTCATCGATATTTTTCAATATGTCTCCTGCGCTGCGTAATGCATTTGCCAGGAAGAGTAATATCCTTTTCCATCGGAATAAAATGGGAAGGAAATGAAAGGGGGGAGGGGATCACGACTAAAAAAAAAAGAATCGGAGGGAGTTTCGATGTTGTCGGTCCGCAGCACCGGCGGAGCCGAGGCGGGAACGGGAGCCGGGCCGGGGGACACGGTCACGGAGCGGAGGACCCGGCGGACGGGGGATCCCGGACGCCCGAGAACTCGGTCTGCAGCAACGACGGGGACACGGCCGTCTACCCGGACGGACCGTCCACGATATCGGTCGACATGGGGATGGCGGCGAGGGGGAGGCGGAAATGACCGTGGGGGTGGTGACGTGGGACCAACGACGACGGGGATCGGCGAGACCGGCCGATCTCTTGTGCCAACGGGGACGGGAGAGGACCGGTGGCAGGGTGAGGACCGGTGGCCGAGCGAGGACCGATTCACGGGAGTGGGGAAACGCTTAGGCTTCCTTCATGAGCCGCATTGGGTATCATGTTGACGTCAAATTTTCTCCTTGTTCCCTTTTTTTTTTTTGTCTTCT